CACAGTAAATACACCAATAGTAGTGCAATGCCAAATTAATTTATCCTTAATCCCCTGATGGCTGATATGGATTTTGCGAATAGACTCATTATTAAAAGAAATAAAAATCTTTACAATCAAGTCTTTCTCTCACCTCAACTCCGCATTGAAAAACAAATCACTCATTTTTCTAACCCCATCCCTATCTCCCTAAAACTGAGAATTAGGGATAAATGAGGGGATATTTGGAATCCAAGGTGAACTCCAAACATCCACTAATTTCCTATCTCTAACTGGAAACCTAGCACCTAACTTTGAAGACACCCTAACCCCAACCAACTCCTCCACATCCAAGAATCCATATTCTTATTATCAACCTCAAACAAATTTTGTCTGTGGAAATACCTACCCTTAATGATCCTACTCATCAATAGATTTGGTTGAGTAAGCACTCCCTAAAGCTGTTTGACAAGCAATGCCTCATTAAACAAACAAAGATTCTTAAACCCCAAACCCTCTTCCTCATTACCTCTAGCTAACTTGTCCCAAGCAGCCCAGTGTATCATCTCATTCCGCCCTTCAGCCTTACCCACTAAAAAGCAACAAAAATTTTACACGTCTTTGCACACAGAAACTGGAAGTTTATAACAAGACATTGCATAAATGATTAGAGCCCCCAAAACAGATTTAATAAGCACTTCTTTTCCAGCTTTAGTGAAGAATACATTTTTCCAATTAGCCACTCTGTTTTTCACACACTCACTCACATATTTAAAAGTTTCCCTTTTGGATTTTCCTATCCTTAGAGGTAACCCTAATGCAAGTGTGAGCGTCCTGGTCCGGTTTGGAGTAGATCAGTTCTTTTCCTTGTCGGTAGAACGCCGGAAACCTGCAAATAACTCTCACACCGGGGGTTGTGTCCAGTGAAGAGCCTCCGATGCTTAAGTCAGTATGTGTATGAGTATATTGGAATTGAGTAATGAATAGAATGTGTTAAGGGAGAAAGGCTCACCCCCCTTTTATAGGGGTGAGATACCTGCCCTAATAGCTGCCCGGATAAGGTGAGCTGGCTGCCCAAGCTGCCCGTCCGTACTCTGACACGCCGCGCACATGTCAGAGGTGGCGCAGGGCATTGGGAGCTGTCAGAGGTGGTTATCGCTATCACCCAATACATTATTGACACGTGTCCCTCCTGCACATGG